TGTTTCCATTAGCTGACGCCTGATAGTTGCCATCGGTGTGTTTGCAACTCCAGCTTTAAGTGGTGTGTGAAGCTGGCCGACAGCTCCCGAAACGCTCTTGACACACGGAAGCCCTCGCCAAAATTTGGTGTCCGTGCGGTTTGGAGTATTGTTCTTTTTTTATCCATTTTGTCGACGTTGCGCGGGTAGCCACTGGCTTTGAAGATCCGTCGAAGTTATTGTAGTTCCGTAATCTTGTCGTTCGGCTAAATGCAGTGAGTTTCGTCACGCCGATAGAGCGTCCTTACACAACTGTGTTTGTGGCTGATTGGGTGGTTGTTGTCGAAGTTCAGTACTTGCATCGTATTTGTCGCTTTCCTGAACACTTTGGTATTAAGTCCACCACAATCTTTGTGGCATACGAGGACATCCAGGAAGGCCAGCTGGCTATTCTCGTCATCCTTTATCGTACAATGTATGTCCAGGAAGACCGCATTCAAATTCTCCTTGAATGTCGGCAGTTGATCCCGGTTAATAAGGACAAATCTATCATCCGGATACCGGGCCCAGAATTTCGGCCTGTGGTGTTGTAAAACCAGTGACTCTATTCGTTGCAGGAATCCCGAAATCGGCGAAGCCAATGGTGTGCCCTCCACCTGTTCGTAGATTGTCCCGTCGAAGTTGAAGAACGTCAGGAGACAGATTTTTAGAAGCTGCATGATTTGGGCGCGTCCAAGATGATTCTCCATTCCATCGTGTTTGCTTTGTGGAATCAGCTCGATTGTCTCAGTTGCTAGGTCCTGATTTTTATAAGTAAATATGGGCATAACATAAAAAGATACCATGAACCTAGTTGGATGGAGTCTTACCCTATTGTGTTTGTCCAGTAATTGTGCTGACGAGGAGACCGCAGTGCATAACTCAGCGGTTAGGAACTTGGGACGCTTGAACAGTTACTAAGACACTCCGTACGTTTGAGTACCTTTGAATGACACGGTTAGTTTGGAGAGGAGCGATCTCCATGTGCACCTTAGGGAGGCCATGAAATTGGGAAAAAGCCTTAACTTTGGGTCTCACCATGCGTCTGTCGATGGGTGTTATCGCATGTGAGTTCGCCAAGACCGACAACGGAGCAGTGATTTACCATGTCGGCGCTTTTAGAGGGTTCGCTGCACATGGGACATAGAACTGTCGGTCCTCCAGTAAAAGCTTGGCTATTTGACGGTGTTCTGTCCTGTCCAATACAACCATTGAGTGCCCCTTGCCTACTGGCACGATGAACAATTCCTTGTAGACTTTAGTTCTCTGAGAGCATCATCATCGACCTTGTCGACTCTGCGGCGTATTCAATGAGATCCAGACACACATGCAAATTCGATGAGGCCGACATTCTCGCTAGAAATGACAACCGCGTGGGCCGGGGGCTGCTTGAATCATGGTTAAATGGCGCCCAGTCCATTAACCAATGCAACGACCGTCCCCTTCCATACTCGGTGCGGAGACTTCGCCAAGGCAGAGTAAATAGACACGTAGGAAACGCACAGGTGAACACTGTTCCAAACGCCATGGCCATTGGGTCAGATGACCGAGCAGTCATCACGCCAAAATCCAACGCACGTGATAAAATTGCAATAATTAAGGACTCGAATGTCAACCATCACACCAAGTGCAGTGATCTCTGAATAAGGTGGGGGGAAGTCGTGACTATTGATAAGTATGCTTTAGCATGGCGACTGCATCCTGTAGATACTGCAGCCCCTTGTGCATGAGCCACCCGTATCTGTTTTTGTCTCTGACGGTGGGTTCGACCAGGGATCTGGAACGTCAAACTAATACTGCTCTTGTCCCGACGATCGTGTCTTCTCCTTCGCGACTGCTTCTCGGCATTCGTCTCTTCACTTTCACGATCTTACAAATTCCATTATATTTTGTAAAGTTAATGCACAAATGTATACTCTCATTTACGCATTTTGGAGAAAATCATATTCTCTTCATTCTTTTATATCCGAAGATAATGCGTTTTGCGGTTTTAAATATGTTTCCTATCTCCCGATTAATTTTGATTCTGATGCGCCATTCACTGTCATTTAGCATATTATGTCTTTATATGGTCTATATATACATATATGTCTATATGGTGCAGGCTTTGGCCGAAAGGATAATCATATACCGCTCTATCCTTAGAAAGATACCATCTAGATTTCATGCAATTTTTCAATGTGTCCCGATTATGTTGTACATTTAATGAGGAGCATAGGTAGATGGACATGTGCAGTCCTGTATGCCTAGATGTCACACGGTCATAAAACTCTCGTAATTAGGAATTTTTTTAAAAACCCAAATACATACTTTTTTCATGGATAACATGTGATGACAGTGTTATTTTCTACCAAATATGTGAAATAAATCATATGGTTATGCACATTTTCTATAAAGAATCTTTGAATTTATAAGACCATCGAAAATAAATAGGATATATCCGTGCTACTTATGCAGTCATTTTTCACCATGTGCGGTTCCTGCAGGAGGTCAAAAATGGGTTTATTCAAAAGCCGACATCCTTTGGAATCCGAAAGGCCATAGGTTTAATTTGCATGCTAGGCAATCTTACAACCCCACCTAATTACTCCTTTTTTATCGAAAACACACTTCAAAATATCGGCAAACATTTCATGAGATCGGTCGTGCACTGTAAATGCATAGTGGAACAGACTGACTCGCCGAATTTCCGCTCATACTGGCAAATTTGAGACATTCGGGTTGATGATTTGAAGAAGTATATGGACTCAGGGGAATGATTTTATTTTGATTTGGGTGTTTTAAAGTATCTCTTTGGCTCTCCGTTGCATCAGTTAACGACGCGAATGTCAACCATCAAACATGTATCACACTGAGTGCAATGACCCATGAATAAGGTGGGGGGAATCTTGAATATTCATAGGTATGCGGTAGCATGGCGATTGCATCCTGTAGATACTGCAGCCCCTTGTGCATGAACCACTCGTATCTGCTTTTGTCTCTGGTGAGGGGTTCGACCAGGGGTCTGGAATGTCAGACTCATAATGCTCTTGTCCCAGCGATCCTGCCTACTTTCTAACGACTTTTACTATCATTAGTTTTTTCTTATCAGCAATGGTCCCGGACATTTTTTCGGTCAGAGAGCATCACCGTTTACTTTTTGGCATATTGCTTAGAAGTGCTTATTACTTAACTTTTGTCATGAGTGTTTGAGATGCTCCGCTTGATATGCGTATATGCGGCCACCAAGGAAGACGGTCAAGGCAGCGGCCATCGGAATGAATCAGTCTGCAACAACCATGCTCTCAAAAAGTGACTGATTACGTTAGACGGGGTTTTTAATGATTTCATTTGTTCTTACAAATTAAATTAGATTCGGTAGAAATCGAGGACAAAATTACTTTTTTATTCACTCATTGCGAAGCAAATGGCATCTTCCTAAATGCTTTTGTGAATATAAGTCTATTTTGGATTTGAAAGCACTTTCAAATTCTGATTAACTTTCCCCCGTCATTAAACTTGCATTTATGGCAACTACATTAAACAAAGTATACGTTTCGTCGAAGGGATATATATATATTGCTGATTGAAGCGAAAATGCGCGTTCCCGGATCTAACTGAGGAGATAAGGCGATCACAGGAACCATGAATTTATTTGCCTGACGTTTCGAAAGCAAAAAAGCTTCCATCATCGGAGGTGGGTTGCGTACTGCACGTCACAGTATTTAAGGGTTTTTTTTCGTGCTGGCGTGTCACTGACTTCAAGCGCGCTGCATCACACGGTATGGCGATGGTTGTCATGGCGGCATCGGTTCCTCCTCATCCTTTGTCGGGTGTGGGGAGGGGGGCGGCGCCGGGGTGATCGCGGCCATTGCTCTTGTTTGCATTCTCCGTTGTCCGCCCTCGACGCATCTCGCCTTCCTGCCCCGTTCGCACCTGCTCGTATCCGCGTGGACGGTGGTTGTCATGCCACTGTTGACGTCGGGCTGGGGGGTCCTGTCGCTGTCGTGGGATCTCGTCTCGCTGTCCCGTTCACACCTGCCCGTAACCATGTTGACGGTGGTTGTCATGCCAGTGTTGACGTCGGGCTGGGGAGTTTTGTCACTGTCGGGCGTTCTCATCGAGTGCTGGCGTCCGTCTGCGTTCGGACCCAGAAGGCGGTCTCCTGGGTTTGCGTTCGCCGCCGTTTGTCCCCCGGTTTCGTCCGTTCCCGGTGCCTGTCTATGCCCGTCCGCGTTCCCGCTTGGTCCGGGTTTGATTACTGCCGTCTCTGGCCTGACGACTCGTCGATAGCCCTGCCTACTGAACTTCACCCGTAGGGCTTGGTAGGCAGCCGGCAGAGTTACGCATCAGTTGAGTGAGGTAGTTGTGGTGTGCCAGGCTTCGAGTGTCGCCCTGAACGTTTGATCGCTCCCTTGGGCCAAGACTTCGGCGTCTTGGAAGGCGAAGGCGTGGCCAAAAGCTGCGCAATGTTCTGCCACCAACGAGAGCTGATCCATTCTTCTTACCGCTCTTGCGTGCTCGTCCATGCGGGTCTGCAATCTCTTCCCGGTTTCTCCAACGTAGTTTGTCTCGCAGGAACTACACGGGATCCGGTAGACGACGTTGGCAGTTTTGCCTCTTGGCAGGGGCGTTTTTGGTCTCATGACCAAACGCCTAATTGTCGCTTCGGGTTTGTGGGCGATGCCGATACCCAATGGTTGCAAGATACGAGCAACTGCCTCGGAAACGCTCGCACTATATGGCAGCGCTCGCCAGACTTTCGGCTGATTTGCCGTTGACTTTACGGTTGCTCTGGACAGTCTGCTGCGTTCAATAAAGCTGCGGGGGTAACCGTTGGAGGTGAACATCCGCCGTAGATAGTGGAGTTCGGCTACCTTGTCCGTCGGTTCGCTGCAGTGAGTGTCAACTCTCCTGAAGAGAGATCGAACACAGCTTCGTTTGTGACACAGCGGGTGATTGCTGTGGTAGGACAGGATTTGGCGAGTGTTAGTGGCCTTCCTTTAGACCGTGGTTTTCAGGCTCCCGTTGACCTTGCGATGGACCAGAACGTCCAGAAACGCGATCTGATTGTTGTGTTCTGTCTCCATGGTGAATTGAATATCGGGAAGAACAGAGTTCAGTAGCGCGTGGAAATTCGAGACCATTTCCCGTTTGAGAACGACGAAAGTGTCGTCCACATACCGCGCCCAAAATTTTGGCTTATATGTTGCGAACACCAACGTCTCGAACTTTTGAAGAACAGCTTCAGCGATGAAACCGGATAGTGGTGAGCCCATCGGCGTACATTTGATTTGTTCGTACACAGTCCCTTCAAATGTGAAGAAAGTTTGGAGACAGTATTTAAGCAGTTGCACCAGGTGCCCCCTCCTAGGGGTATTGTTTGCCTCCGTGTATTGAATGTCGAGGAGGTCGCTGACAGTTTCGACTGCCAAGTCCTTTGGGATCGAGGTGAAAAGCGAGGTTACATCGAACAACACCATGACCTCGTCTGTGTTAATTTGCAGGCCTTTCAGTCTTTCCTGGAAATGGACGGAGGAGCGGACCGTCGTGTCGGAGCCCGAGGTGGGGCAGTTCAGGCGCCGGAACATCCATGTGGCCAGGTTGAATGTGGGTGTCCCGCGCAAGGATACGATGGGACGAAGTGGGGCACCATCTTTGTGTATTTTGGGCAGCCCGTAGAACCTTGTCATGGCAGCATCAGTCGGTTTGGTGGCCAGTCGTTCTGCACTCGTCATCGCGCCATTATTTTGTAGGATGGTGAACGTCGTGTTTATTTGCGTCACCAGCTTCTTCATGGGGTCTCCATCGCACTGGACGTACGCTTGCCTGTCCTCAAGCAACGCATTGGCGGACAAGAGTATCGTGATCCTACCGGCAGACAAAGGGCGATCGACGGTTATACTTGACAAGGCCGAGTACCTCCAGAAAGCACAGACGCACCTGGCGCAGTCGGTCAACCACTGAGGCCTACCAGATGGGTCATAAGCACTTCATCGAACCGAAGTTCATCAGTGCCTCGCCACCTGTCATTCTCTGTCGCTGCAGATCGGGTATTTATCAATCAGGAATGGGCGCACACCGATCTATTGACTTCACAAAGCAAACAAGCTCCGTATGTGTGGCAAAGGTCACGAACAGGCAACCAATTACCAGGTCGAAGTCGGCCAAGTCATAATAGCAAAAAAAAATTACATTATTAGTGTTAGATGGTAGGATATTCACATAGTTAATACACGGCGACATATCGCTGTCTGCTTTTCCAAAACGTAGACTGCTTGCTTGCGTATTAGCGTTTCCGGTCCCACCTGGCAGTTAGGGTTATGATTGGCTGAATGAAGACAACCAAGCCCGAAACATTGCTGTATCAATCTATCCCCCCCAGACTCTTTCCCCCTCTGCTATCATAGCTTGGCCGGATATCGGCCTGTTAGGTGGTCGCCTGTTCGTAACCCCTATCGCCCATACGGAGCTTGTTTGCTTCGGGAAGCCAATGGATGGGTGTGCGCCCATTCCTGAGTAAGTAAATATCCGATCTGTAGCGATAGAGAATGGCAGATGGCGGGCACTGATGAGCCTCGTTTGATGAGGGGCTTATGACCCATCTGGTAGGCCCCATGTTTGGACCAGATGCGCCAGGTGTTACTGTGCGCATGCTTGTGTTTCCGGTCCCACCTGGTAGTTAGGTTTATGATTGGCTAAATGAAGGCAAACAAGCCCGAAACAGTGCTATATCAATCTACCTCCCAGATTCTGTCGTCTCCCCTCTACTTTCATAGCCTGGCCGGATATCGGCCTGGTAGGTGATCGCCTGTTCGTGAACCCTATCGTCCATGCGGAGATTGTTTGCTTCGGGAAGCCAGTGGATCGGTGTGCGTCCATTTCTGAGTGAATATATGTATATGGAGTTCATATACCAGAAACCGCTAGAGAACGCTGGGGGTCCCACTGAAGAGCCGAACCCCTCGCAGCTGTGTCACGCAGCGGCAGAATATCGGCGAAACACGTGTCTGGGCTTTTAGCAAGTATCTAGGTCGGGAGTACGGTATAATACCTTTACCATATG